ATAAATATAAAATACATTAATATAGAAATAAATAGAAATATAATTAAAAAAACATAAATTATAAATAAATTCTTATACTTTTTTACAATTGTAAAAATGAAAAAGATTTAGAAATTATAAGCAAATTCTTAAACTTTTATCTTGATATCTAAGAATGCTTAGAAAAGGGCTGTCATCAACCTCCTAAACTCTATTAATTCTGAATTTAAATGGGTATTTCTAAGGTTTTAGAAATCTTAATTGAAATAAAAATAGGATTTGAAATAGAATAAAAAACTTGAATGTTGGACACTGAACGTATGGTGTTGACACAAAACAGAAACAGAAAGTTTTTCTGCATTATTAACGCATGGTGTTGACACCCATATTATGTGTCGACACTACACTCGTGTCGAGTTTTTGGCCTCCTTTCGCAATTTCTTCAATGGTAAAATAACATATCTGTCCTCCTATTATTATGCATTCAAGTTTTTTTTTTTTACACCAAGAATGAAAACCATGTAAAATCTCATAAAATTCATCCAAATATCAATAATATCAAAACAAAAATTTCACATCAATGTCTATATGAATTCAACTCGTCAACTATATCACTAGAGTCATTGATAATGTTATAAAGCAATTCCATCTGCATTACAACAGATCATAGCTCCAAATCCATAGCACAAAGAAAACAAGGCCTTACCTAATCAACTCTAAAAAGAGTACTGAATTACAACAGATCATAGCTCCAAATCCACAAAACCATTTGAAAGCGTTGCAATTTCTAAATGCAATAAAAAAAATATATCATTAGTTAATAGTATAAGATTTATCAGTTTAGTAAAATGAAGAATACAACTTTAAAATTATTAATTGTAAGTAAAAGTAGTTTAGTACCTTGCTCAATTTCATCTGCAACTTCTTGTGTTTCCATTTTCTCTAGCAATGGTGTAGATCGAAACCAGTTTTGAGTGCGAATAAGTATCTCCATTGTTTTAGGACTTAAAGAGCTTCTATATGGATCCAATACACAGCCTCCTATGCTAAAAGCAGACTCTGAAGCCACTGTAGACATTGGGACAACAAATACATCCCTTGCTATCAAGGATAGGATTAGATATCTCGAGGAGTTAACTTTCCACCAATTCAAGATGTGGAATTTGTCACTTTTCTTTTCTTTATCCTCTGCCAAGTACAAATCAACTTCATTTTTACCATCTTCTTCATTTTCCATGCTCATTTTCTCTTCATAAAGATCTGCAAACATTGAAAAATCATCATTGATAGCCTCATCATCCTTTCCCTGTGAACTTGGCCTATGGGAATTGCTATTATCTTCATCCATAAACCCACTGAGTGTGCAATACTCTTCAAACATCTTTTTTAGAGTACTTTTCACTTTGTAACTTAAGGTCTCTACAATAATCCTATCATAGAGTTTCCCAAAACCAAATTCAACAAAACTCAGCTTATATCTTGGGTCTAGCACACATGCAATAAAAATTAAAACATTCATGTTAGATGCTGCTCCCCAATACTTCTCATGCTTTTCCTTCATTTTTTCAGCTATTGTAGAAAATAATGGATCATTACTTCCAATCCACTTGTTCAACAAGGTAAGAATTGTGGAGAAGTCATGAAAATACATGTGAGATGTGACATGAGTAGACCCTAAAATACGAACAGTGGCATCATAGAAAACTTTTTAAAAATTTGACAATTTTTTCTGCATTTTCCCAATCCTCAAATTCAGGAGGACCTTTCTTTCTTTCACTCACATTCTCTCCAAAGGAAAATTCCATCAAATACAACCCATTAGTATCATGAAGCCTCTCAAAAGCCTTTTGAAACTTAAGGGTAGCTTCAAGCATCAAATAGGTGGAGTTCCACCTTGGTGAAACATCTAAACAAACTAATGATTTACATTGGATTTTTTCACGTTCAACACAACCTTTGAATCTTTGCATCCGAGAAGGTGAAGCTCGTACATACCTTATTGCATTTCTAATTTTCAAGATTGAATCATGCAAGTTCTTCAAACCTTCATTGACTATGAGATTTAGAATGTGTGCACAACATCTCATATGCAAAAGCTCGCCATTAAGCACACTACCCCCCCAATCTCAAATCTTTTTCCTCAAATAGGCGTCATTAGATGTAGCATTATCAACAGTAATTGCAAAAACCTTCTCAATCCCCCATTCAAACAACTTACTTTCTAAAGCCTTTCCTATAGTTTCACCTTTGTGATCAATAATTTGACTAAAACCAATAATCCTTTTGTGGTAGGTCCAATCATTGTCTATGAAATGGACAGTCAAACACATATGATTTAGATTTTGAATAGAGGTCCAACAATCAATGGTAAGGCTCACATGCTGTAAGTTTCTACTAAGCACATATTTTAACTTTTTCTTCTTTGTTATGTAAAGCTTAGAAACATCCCTTGCAGTAGTGATTCTAGATGGAACTTGAAATAAAGGCTATGTAATACTCTTGAAGTAGCTTCTAAATGAATAATTAGTTCCAAAATAATTACAAATAACTTTAGAAGCACCTTTAATTTCCTTCTTAGTTAAATGTTCCCATACCCAAGAAGGAGCTCTAGTTGGTTTCCTCTTTTCTAGTTGCAAGCCTTCTTCATCAGAATGAGTAGCATCAGTTGGTGTTTGTTCTAGAGCTACTACACTTGCTGTTGTTGCTTCCTTTTGAGCAGCCTTGGGAGAGGTAGCAACCCCTTTTCTCTTCTTAGAAGGCTTAGGCATGGTCTCAACTTCTAAATTATCAAACTCAAAAAACTCCTTTAGGAAACACCCCTCAGATTCATCCATTTCTAAATGTAAATTACCTGTCATTAAAAAAAAAAATGAAGTTCAAAGATCAGAATGTGGATCTAGAATTTGAGCATGGCCACGCATTTATCTAGAATTTTGGAAACAAATAGGAGTTGTTCTCCATCTATAGACCTAGAGTTCTCAGGAATATATAAGGCTTCCTCATGAATTTTGTGCTAAAATTTCATGAGTAGAACCTGTTAATGTTGCAAATAACGGAGGCAAGGCATCTCTATCTAAAAACAGTATAATGATTGTATCGATCTACTAAATTAAAGTAAAAACTAAGGAGTAATCAATATAAAAAATTATATTACTTAGATGGTACCAAGAAAGCCATCGAACACAACACTTGATCACAAATTAACCTAGCAAAATGAAGACAACAACCTTGGCAAGTGCACGCCACTCAAGAAGGTAGGGTTTTGAGAATAAAGTTGCAACTCACTTATAAATGTAGAATTGTAGTGGAATTAGAAATTTAAAATTAAAATTAAGATATATAATTAAAAAAATAAATTAGGAAATATAAGATACTCTATTTTTATTTTTAATTAAATCAACGGAGTCATAATCTTGTAAAATAAAAAAAATTGAAATATTATAAAAATATTATATTATTTAATTAAGTTATCTTATAATCGAATTTTTTTTATAATCGGGCGGCTCGAGCAGTTTAAAAGTGAAATCACAAACCAAACCAATTATATCGATTTTAAATTTTTATAATCCAAACCAACTTAATTTTATATTGGTTTGGTTTGGTTTTTAATCGGATTGGATTAATTTAGGTCGGATCAATTGGATTAGATCGAATATGAACACCCCTACTCTTAAGTTGCTAGTTTGCATCTCTGTCATCTCTTGGGTTATTAAGAATGTAACCTAAAAGGAAGAAGAACTATTATTAAAAGATCAAAACTGACAGTTAACATAATCCATATAAATGTAAAATTGAAACAAGATTTAAAATTGCAAATAAGCTTATGTTTAATTTTAGATATCTAAAAATTGATACTTTAGGATTTTTAAAACAGCATAAGATAAACTTAAATTTACTCAAATCAAAATATCAAATTTAGGGTAACAAATGATAAATCAATTTAAGGTTTCAAAAATACCTGACTAATAGAAGATTTATATCTCTACCAGCAACCACTGAAAGAAGTTGAAGGGAGAGAATAAGAGCTTAGAGAAGAGAACTGAAAGGTAGGGATTGAGTTTTTGGTATCACAACCAAAGAAGGATCAAGGAGAAATGGGGAAAGAGAATAAGGTTAGATGTACAAAAAGTACTACCAGGCAGCAGCATTGACAATGCTACGAAGAGAAAAAGACATGAAAAAGAGAGTTTCAAAAACAAATCAAAGTTTAAAGAAGAAAAGGATGAACAAGTACGGTAATATGATGCCTAAATCCTTTTATACTTATAAAAAAATAATGGTTGAATGGAAAAAAATCATGGTGGAGCGATGGGGATGGAGGGAAATTAGATCTTTAGATTTGATTTTGGAGGTTGGAAAACTTTGGGTGGGGAGGGAATCTTAAAATATTGAGGCGCAGGTAGGCAACAATGAAGTTTTAGGTTTTTCTACTATTCCCCCCTTATTCTTTTAATTTTTTGGCACAAAAAAATTTGGGCCTCCAATTTGATTTTTAGGAGGTCCATTTTTGGTTTTTCGTTAGTGGAAGGCCTAACGAAACCAACTCAAACTTTTATTCAAGTAATACCAAACTCAAGCCTAAAAACCCGAATCCCATTACTATTGACTTGAATTCATTTTTTTGGGGTAGTTTCTAGTTAACCCTTTGGTTAACCACCCAAATGCCCACCCTTACTTCTGACTACCTCGCAAGTGTGGAGTTAATATCAATGTGCTTAAAATACCCTCTAACCACAAAGTAAAAACAAAAGAAAAGAAAGGAATCTTATCCAAAGGAATTGGCTTTTTCATGGAGGTCAAAAACAAACTAAACTCAATCTTAATTTTTTTTTTTGATGAATCAAATATGTATTATCATACGGAGTACAAGGGGTACTCCACCCATAGTCTCAAAACACCTTACATAAAATAACAGATAAGGCACTCTAAGCCAATTCAAAAAAGGAGGGGCTTAAAACCTATGCAAAGCTAACTTCTAGTAATTTCTTGAACACATAGACTAGGGGAATTACACCAGTGAAAAAAAGAGAACATAGAATTTTTTGTCTTTCCCCTTATCCATACAAAAGTCCTCCTTTGAATTAAATCAAAAGCCTTACCCTCATCCCACTGTTGTGCGTTATGAATAATAGAATTCCTCGAATACCATATGGACCATGTGACCACCAGGAATATGAGAAACCACACATCAGATTTTACCACCTTTTTGATCCCAAAGCTGTGAGCTTCACAAAGAAGGGGAATGGAGTTGGGCAGAGGTAGAGAAATCCCCCACCAGTTGTAGCATTTCATCCATAGGCTCTGTATCTTTGGGCATTGAACGAACAGGTGATTTTCATCCTCGAAGTCCCTTCTGCATATGCAACAAATAGTTTCTGCTTCTTCCAGCTTGACACCCCTCTTCAAGAGACCAGATTTTGTTGGGATACCATTAAGGAGCAAGCGCCAACCAAAACAACTGACTTTAGTTGGTACTAATCTGTTCCATAACCTTGTGCAAATTCTTGGTTCCAAAATACTGTTCTGTCCAGCCATCATTGAGTAAGCCTTGCCCACTATGTATCCATTTGCGGTATCAAAGCTCCAAACTCTTTGGTCGGGTTGGGTAGAGAAAGTGATCCCACCAGCAAGGCTTTCCTTTAGCAGTCGTTCTTCGTTCCTTTCCCTGCCAAAAGGTTCACGTCTCCATGCATTTCTCCAAATCCAAAGCTCCAAACTCAATCTTAATTTTGATAATGGATTTTCTATCTCATTAATTTTTAACGTACCATTGCATCTCTACATTTCATTAACTCCAGAATAGACGCTCTTTAGTTTGTTGGCTGCCAATATATTAGAGAAAGGATATGAACACTACGAATTTTTGAAGTAGGACTCCATTAAAATGGTTTTTGCATTATGTACAAGGACCCTTATCAATGATACCTTAGTTGAGGGACGTTCATGAACGAAAAATTAAAGTACAAGGATCAGCCTTTTAAGAAAGGATTAATGCCAACTATCGTCCCTCTACTATAAAAAATAGTTCAATTTAAACCTTTTATTTTCAAGTCACCTCATGTCCTCCTTCTACTATGAATTAACTACACATGTCCTCCCTCTACTATTGGAAAATGTATTGATGTCGTCCCTCCGTCTAATTTCCGTCCAATTTTGGGTCAACGGAAGGTTTATTGACCGTTAACATGAACTTACTCAGACATCTAATCCTTTTTTATTTTTTTATAACACCTGGGCTCTGTGGACCGCCAGTGCCACAACAGATCCCCTTCAAATTCTTTGCCGACACTGGGCAACATCAAAATCCCCAAAATTTTTCGTTCTCTTTGATCTCATTCGCCCTTTTCCGAGAAACCCTAAAATGAATCCATCAAACCCATCAACAATCAACCAAAATCACCAAAATTAGTAGCCGGCACTGCAAGCATCAAAATCCCTATATTTTTTTCTTCTCTTCGAACTCATTTGTCCTCCGAGTGATGCAGCACGAGCCGAAGCTCATGTTCAACACCTTGAAGCACCATGTGGATGAGTTTTGTGGGCCGGAACACAGCGATTCTGGTAGTGATGATGGTCACGAAACGGCCAACGCTGCTCTAGGTAACAGCCTTGCTCGACCCTTTCACAACATGCCGTATCTGGTTTCCTGCTCTCTGACTGCCATTAATAATAGTGGGTTTTATTATTGCAATGAGGATGAGTACAACGCCGCCGTCGAGTCTGGGGCCATTGAGGACGAGCAGTGGTCTTATTGCTGTACCTAAGATAGCCGGTGCTACTTCCCATGTGTTGCCTGCGTTCTCTTTTATGTTTTAACTGTTAATTTGGAATTTTTATTTTATTTTTATTAGGATAAGCAAAAGATGTTAGCAGAGCAAGGAAGCGTCTTTTGCATTTTGTGGGAAAGAGAGGGGACTGAAGTAACCGAATCCATCCTTTGTAAATTCGAGATCTTATTCCCTCTTTTCTTAGTAGACTTTCTCAGTTCTTAATTAAAAATTTCATTTATGCTCTGTTTGGGAACATGAATTTAATAGGATGTATTTGAATTTTAACTCCTCGAATTCAATATCAGTGGTTGTTTTTAATTAAATAAAATGTAATTAGATTTAAGGGAAATACATGTATTTTAACCAGTATATTTGAAAGACTTAAAAACCGTGGATTTCAAATTCATACCTAAACCCATGGATTTCAATTTCTAACCCTGCATTTTCTCCGCACTCCGACGGCGGTGAAGCCCCCATTAGTCTGATTATCGAAGGGGACGAGGGAGGAACAGCCGACACAAAGATCTGGAGGTGATGGAAAAAAGACCTAGGGGTTGAGTGGAGGGAGACTTGGATCTGGTTGTCGATGGAAGAGGGAGATCGGGAAAGAAGCAGATGTGAGTGGAGACGGACCAATATGAGTGAGAGGAAGGAGTTCGAATGACATGGGCGGTGGATGAAGGGCATTTGGGTCTGACCTAGGAAGTAGATCTGGGGTTTCGGCCGATGCTGGAGCTGTCCGGTGTTTCTGAGCAAGGATGGGAACGAGAGATGTAACTTATGCTAGTTCCTTTGATTACTTTTTATTTTTACTTTTATTTTTTTCGAAAGGCAGAGTCTCACAACCACTTTTTAAATAGGAAGGTATAGATGGATTATTTTTTAAAAATTATTAATTATAATAAATTATTTATTATTTAATATATAATATCACCATGTTAAAAATTTATTTTTTATAGTGAAATTCTTTTGTAATGAATCTATGTTTATAGAAATTGAATATTGTATGATAATAGACAAAATGAACAAAAAATAGAGAACATGAAGACAAATTGATTAGTGGAGGTTATTGGTTTTTTTTTGTCCAATTTGTTTATCTTAATATAATTTAAATAATATTTTGGAAGATTAAAATTGTTAACTTTGATCTTATTAAATTTAAATAATAATTAAAAAATGATTTAATTTAATAAGAAAAATTTAATTTTAAATACATAGATTTTTAATATATTCAAACAATGTATTTAAAAATACATGTATTTAAAATTCATTTTTCTTATTCAATCCAAATAATACATTTTAAAATATATATTTAAATTATATGTATTTTAAATACATGTATTTTAATTACACTCATCAAATTTAAATTTAAATTTCCAAACACAACCTTATAGTATTTTTTTTTTTTGAACAATTTGTAATTATTTATCAGGTTAATTGAAAGAGGGGGGAAAGGGATTTCGTGGGAATCGAACGTGCAATCCATTAAAGATGAACAACTCTAACTCAAAATCTAATGCCATTGGGTCAGAGCGGACCGTTCAACCTTATAATATTATTTACGCATGCAATCAAAATGTCCTCAACGAACTTCGTACTCTTTATTCAAATTCTGAAAGTCTTACTTTAGATTGTCAAATTATGACGTGGGGTCATTTGTTTTGTCATGTTTTGTCTATTATTCTTTTGTATATAAGCTCAAAGATTTCACTATATATATATATAAGCTCAATGAGAAAAATAGGAAGAATGTGGGCAATAAAAACTTATAAAATGCTCCTTAAAAATACTATTTTAATTAGTTAAGAATTTTATACTTAATTCAAATTAAAGGTTTTAGTCATTAATAATAATATATTTAGTTTAAGAAAAATAAATTGAGAATTTTTCATATTTCTTGTCTTAA